AGCCTTCCAAAAGGTATGCTCATACAGGCTGAACTTCAGTTTCGACCTAGTCCGGGTCTAATCTGTTCCCTCAACGAAGATCTAAGCCGGGCAGTGTAGCGTTTATTCTTGAGGTGTTACCATGACAGCTTACTACTACAGAACAGACTTAACTTTCAGGGCAAGCCAAGCCTTTGTCGAGAAGGCATAGTCCTATTTTCAATTACAAGTAACTTTCGAAACCATCAGTATCCACCCTATTTCGTTAATGGTGAAGAAATACTGGTAATTCGATCTTTGCACAATAATATGAATAGGCCTGACGTTTCCATTGAAGTTGGTGGGAATACCTATAGGCTATGCGAACTTCAATGGAAACTTAGGGCCTACTCACATCAGTGTACGAAAATTCTGCCTCCAATCATTCATAATCTTAAACAAAATATGATGAATGCATCTCTTATACTTTTATTTTACCATTGCGATCAACTACACTACTTACCTTCATTGTATGTGGATTTTTAGCCTATCAACTGTAGCCTATTTAAGATCTACTGATAGTCAAGACACCTACTTACTATGAATATAAGTAATGTACTTGACTTTACTGGCAAAATACACAATGACAAAAATAAGAACTTATTCATTCTAGGTAGCTTATGATAAGTTATTTATAGTTAGTTTTTCATAAAGTGAAATGAATGGGCATCAGGATTTGGTAGAATTTAAATTGGCCTTGTCTAATAAATGTCTTTTTTATTTGTACGAGTAAGTTTTTAAGTATTTTGGGTGCCGATTAGACCCATGTGAGGTTGAAAACGCGGTCCATCCTGGATGAGATTACATTTTAAGATATACGAAATGTGTTCATCCTATTTCGTTTTAAGGTGATGAAGGACTAATAGTTGAAGTTTCCCACAATGTTATAAGTAGAGCTTACGTTTCCATTGAATTTCACACAGCCTTGCTTTCCAATAGGTATTCTCATATGTACAAGGGAGAACTGCCGCTTGGCATCGCCTTGGTCTCCTCAACACTCCCAGCGGAGCTCAAACCGTGATAGTGCAGCGCATAATCTTGATACATCACCAAAACGCCACATTGTCATATGTGCCTTTGGGTCACAGGGCAGATGTGCATTTTAAGGAAGGCCAGACATTTTCCCATTCTTTGGTGGAATTGTCGATGAAGCAAAGTTATACTTGCTATAGCAATCGACTACATTAAGCAAACTGGGGTGGACATATATCATATATCATCTGATTTACTGTTCGTTTCGAAAAATGTTAAGAGGCAAAGCTAAGTGAAATTTAATCACATTCTCATCTAATTCTGGCATAATTCACTATAATTTCCTAATAACCCTAACTGATCTAGGCTGACTAACGCCTAGGTCGCTTACAAGAATGTTTCGAAATTATCAGCAAATTGTATATTTGAGAAGTGTGTTGATCTCGTTGTCGCAACTTGGTCTTGTCGTCAGGGCGACTTAATTGGACGCACATTGTCCTAGCCCTCTGCCAAAGTAGTTATCATAATTCCCAGCGTCAGACCGTGGACTTTGTGCATTCTCAGACGTTTCGCCGGCACTGTAGTTGGCATTATCAGTGAGTCTTACCATTCTCAGAGGACTTCGGACAAGATGCATCCAACTAAGTCGCCCTGACAACAAGACAAAGCTGCGAAAGCGAGGTCAACCCACTTGTATACATCGAAAGGAGACTACAAACATACCAAAGACTATACTATCTTTGTCCTTATATCTTCGATATATATATGATAATTCAACGGCATTTCAGTCTCACGTTTCCATTGGATTTCACACAGCTCTGTTTCCCAAAAGGTAGTTACATGAAATTCAATTAGAACATGAGTCCGACATATATAATTGTGGAAATATTGAACTACCGTTGCTTCAGCTCCTTAAGTAAAATAGGGTGAATAAAGCCCTTTTAAAAGATCTACTGGAATTCTACTGCATTCCGTCCTAAATTAGAATACTTTTTTGAGCAATGCTTTGTTAAATTCAACGGAAACTTGAGGCTTTCTCATATCGCTGTGGGAAAATCGACTATCATAATCAGCAAACTTACACGTTTAAGACTATTCTATCTCATGTCCAGTCTCTGTCATGTGCTCGGTCACTTCTGACCGTTGGACCCAGCCTCCTTTACCAGCATTTTTGTGCTCCCCTAATCATCGAATAGGCCGGTATGTCTCACCAACATATAGTCGACCACAGGAGCACTCAAGGCAGCTGGGTGTGAAGGTGATAAGTGGCCGGACACATGGCACAGACTGGGCATGAGCTAGAATGGTTTACTGATTATGGTACGTCTGCTGTTAAAAGAAAGATACGATGGAAAATTCGACTGCCAGTCCTTTATTGCCTCAAACGATACATCTCATATAAAGCTCTTGTCCAAAATCAACTGTCAGTCTCGAAATTCTACTCATAAAGAAGACAACTACATGTTTAGTTTTGTCAGCACCAGTCCCACATTAACTATAAATTTGTAGAAGACTGGCTTGCCGTAAAAGTGAATTCTAACTCATGACCCAAAGTCGCATGAGCTGATTAGTCCCATTCGATGTCGAACCTGGAGATCAGATGGGTCAAGAAATTCTTTTGGACGGGAACACTAAATGAAGCTCTATGAGATCGTGAGCTCTAGGGCTAATTTTAATGAGGGTATTGCAAACATCATTTCTGACTTCAAGCTAGGCTGACTCAAACTTGTATTCAACTTGTAAGCTGAAACCATATGCATGCGATATGATAACTCGAGGAAGACTAGGTCGTCTGAAGCTGTGTGAGGGCTGATAAGGTATGGCGATTCATGCTGATCAAAGTAAATTGGTTTGGATAGCTATCGTCAAGTCGACGTTGAAGAAGTAGGCACGACGCTGGCTCTGATGAGTGCGCTAGCTCGAGTCCTCAAGTCCCAAGCTCAGCAGCGGCAAGTGCGGTGGTAAATTCAGTCTGAACTGGCCAAATTCTGTAGATATGGGAAACGTCGACTCACATGATTGTGATCGAAAAATCATATCCAATGCTCCTCAGATCAAGAGCGTCGCGGGTTGCTGCAACATGGCGATGCAGCATCGCTCTTCTTCTCAAGCTTGGATTGTTTGCCCTGTTGCCGACAGGTCCACTTCACATGGTGTGGAATATGGATCACTAAGCGGGAAAGATTAGCATCATTGTCATTGTGAGGTATACATGAAGACGTGCCGTCCGTCTTTGAGACTCTTAGGCCTCTGCGTCTGTTCTTCTACCGTTTGACTGTCCACCCAACTTCTCATTTGCTCGACTTTCTCGACTCGTTCGCTTGTCGTTTCATCTTCTTCTTTCGCCTTCTACTAGCCGCCTCTCCTCTGGGCATTCGTTTCTGTTTTGGGCTCGTGCTTCGCTCGTCCATTTTACTTCCCATTTTTGGCATACTTCTCTGCCCCAAATGCCCGATTGCGCGCAGTGCCATTTGCTTGAGCTCGCCTGGCATGACGACTAGGCTGGGCGGCGATTTTCCAACTGGCCAGTCTTCTATTTGCCCAGTTGCTATGCCAACTGTATCAAAGTGGACTCAAGAAGGGGACAATCTTGGAGTGTAGAGGGTGGTCAGGGAAATTGAGGCTCTGCGTCTGGCAGAAGCTCCGCTGACCGATTTGTAAGGCTGACATTGAGCAAGATTTGCTTCAAGCGACAACCAGATTCACATTGATTCACATTCCCCACTTTCCTTTACCTCTTCTCCCTCATGCATCCAAACTGAATGTCCACTTCAGCTTTCCCTCTCCTGCAGATGCAATCTCACCATCTCCTGTCATCCCACCTCCCTTCCATGTACTTGCTTCAAGCTCACTCATCATATTCGACCTCCGCCCGAACTTGTCTCCACTGCCCTACACGCCTCATGCCTCCTCATCCCATTGCCGCATAAGAAACCCTGTCTTATCCGAGTCGGGTAGAAACCAATTTCTATGCCCACGAGTACCTTATATATATATATATATATGTGTGTGTGTGTATGTGTGTATATGTATATATGTATAAACATGAATGTTTGAAACAAGCCAAACTTTTTCCGCATCCATGAGCACATAAATTGCCAAGCAAGAGGTAGCACAGAGCCCGCGACTCAAGTCAACTCAACTACAGGTTGCTCTGCTCCTCTCGAGTAGAATTGCATCATCAAACCGTCTGAGAAATCTTGTTCCGGCAAGTACGAGTGAAATATGCAGGTGAAAGCAGAAGTTAGATGTATAGAAGTGTGGTGATAAAGGTGGTGACTGAGGTGCAGGAAAAAAAGACAGAGTAACAGGAGAGCAGGAGAAGAAGCAGAAGGAAGCGGAGGAAGAGGAGGAATGAAAATAATTTCTGGTGAATATGGACAAGGAGAAAGAAGGAATGGCGGTGGCAGAGGACAATGTAGCGTAGGAGATCGTTAAAGAGAAGAACTGGTGCTGGTGTAGGAAGAATGGGAAGAGAAGAAGATGAAGTAAAGTGAGGAGAAGAGAAGAATTCGAAGGAAGAGAATGAGGCAGACCAAATTGTGAAAGAGAAGGAGAAACTAGAGTAAGAAAAATAAGGGTTATAGGTAAATGAGGAGGAACAAAGTATAAGAAAGTGTGTGGTTTTTGAAGAACGAGGCAAAGGGAGTGCTAGTATCAGTAACATCAATAATCGTATTGGCAGTATCAGTAGTGGTATTGGTAATAGTAGTAGTAGTTGAAGAATAAGAATAAGGAGAAGCCAA